ATAACAAAACATTACCACCAAGAGAATGACATGTAGTATGGAATGACAAGACATTACCACCAAGAGAATGACATGTGATATGGAATGACAAGACATTACTACCAAGAGAATGACATGTGGTATGGTATGACAAGACATTACCACCAAGAGAATGACATGTGGTATGGTATAACAAAACATTACCACCAAGAGAATGACATGTAGTATGGTATGACAAGACATTACCACCAAGAGAATGACATGTGATATGGTATAACAAAACATTACCACCAAGAGAATGACATGTGATATGGTATGACAAGACATTACCACCAAGAGAATGACATGTGGTATGGAATGACAAGACATTACCACCAAGAGAATGACATGTGGTATGGTATGACAAGACATTACCACCAAGAGAATGACATGTGGTATGGAATGACATGACATTACCATCAAAAGAATAACATGTCTTACCTCCTCCACAAGGCTTTGAACAGTTAAGCCAGTGTTTTGGCTTCCATATATAAACCTCTGGTTCTTTCTTAGGTTTAAAGTATTGGAATTTCACAAAACTTGGTGATACCTTTTGTTTCCTACTTTTCTTTACCTGGACAAATATCAAATGTCAATAAATAATAAGATTAATCACAGAGAGCCCAATAAACCTCTTTATAGAGCTGACGGAAATAACGATCTTATAGTACCCAAAATCAAACACAAGGCCTTTGGTGGAAGATCTTTTGTATTTGCAGGAGCCAGTCTATGGAACACTTTACCAAGAGAGATTAAAACATGTACTAATTTTGATCACTTTAAAAAACTCTTAAACATCTTTGTTCCGCGATGCTTACAATTTGTAATATTTCTATTTTAAATGTTTAGTGTTCGTTACATATGTTAAGTTTTACAAATGGACTGAACATTTTTTATACAATATGCTATTAATATAGTTTATAATTTTTCGCCTTCTTAGTTTTTTATATTGAAATTTTATTTGTATATATATATTTTTTCCCTAGTTGTTAAGCGCTATAGAGTTAATGTATGTAGCGCTATAGAAACTTAATAAATTATTATTATTATTATTATTATTATTTATAATACAATCAGCAAATTTACACGATTCTGTTTGGACAAGAGGAGTACAATTAGATCCTAAAATTGTACTCGATCTGTAGAGTCCCAGTAAAGTGGCTCAATTTTGTTGAGGTGTATTATAAACAAAAAAATCGCACAATGTTCTTGTAAATTCTGAATTTATAGATACTCGTGATGTTTTGAAAGTTTTGAAAACTTACTCGTACCGATAAAATCCGAATTCTGCTTGAGATCGTGTGATTTCCTATACTTATCTTGGGTGTTACGCTTTCCATTTCATATCAAGTGTCATTCTCTTGATAATAAAATTGTTTGAGTCATATCCATATTCGCGTGTCTTCTCGTGACACTTGTTCTGAAATGGGAAAACATTACGCCCAACTGACCTAAAGAGGTATTTTATTATTTTCATGTGATAATATATTCCCAACTACACTTTTTTCTATATTGATTCCCTGAAGGTCTTCATTTAATTGCAATATTATTTTACTGATGTTTTCGTATAAACATTTGGAACCGCAAGCAGAATATTTGACCAATATAAGAGGACCCATACCTAGTCCTTTTAACATGTACACTCAACTCAAAAATAAGCAGCTGTTACCTTGACGATAAGATTTTCCTTGATTGGTCCAAGTGCAAGAAGCTTTTCCATATTTTCATCCCTTGAGTATACAAACTTAGTGCCACTTATTTCGTATACACCAGGGCTCGTAACATTAGAACCACCATTTATGAATGTCTCATTGGCTGCTCCAGTGTTTTGTACAACTAAAACAGATTAGAGTAGATAGTTTCATAATATGCCCTTTGCAGTTAACGGTCACCTGTCTGTACTAATTTTTTTTTTTCAAATTGGTGATTCTTTTTAGCCATTTGTAAAGAGCTGAATGAAACGATGTGTAACCAGTTTGTCACGAAATGAAGTTTTATTACGATGCATCTCTCGAAACAGGTTGTACAAAGTGTATTTGGTCACCAGTATATTTCACCCATGGAAAGGAAGATGTTCATTCATTTGCTCAGAGTGAATTAATCAGCACGTGTTACTGAGCTGCAAAGGGCCTATTTGACATTATTGAATGGGTTTAATTTCAAATCTTAAAACTTAGACTTGTTAGCGGGGCTAAAGTTGTATGGTACTTCCTGTATGGTACAAACACGTGGAACACCAAATTTTTGGTAGAACTAAATTTCAGTAAGAAGATATAACTAGCTAAAAACTAGTGTGAGCTGCGTCGGTGTTTCTAATGGAAACAGCAATGATGAAAAGGTAAATTATACACCGTGAAAAGATGAAAAAACAAAAATTTCAGTAAGATAAGCGACGATCCTTCCTCTCGTCAATAAAAAGAAAATTTTGGTAGAAATCTACAGCACTATATCTTCTGATCGTTTTGAGGTTTAATGGAATTTTGAACATTTTACTACGGTCAGCCAGGTGTCATATATTAACGTAGAGCTTCGTGTCGTGCTAGAATTTAAATATCTCGAACGTGAACAAAAAGCTAAACTGAATACAAGACCTGCATGATTTGAAGCCTATTTTGGTTACGAATTAAACTGTCTGTATCGACTAGTTTACTTACCGAGATGATTCCTTGAATCACTGAATTCCTGAACCAAGATATTAGTAGCACCAACAGGACATTCTAACATTAAATTTTCATCTTAAAAAGGAATTAACAAAATTTCGTTATTAATATTAAACTTTCTTCGTTCGTTCTAACACTTGAGTACAACTTTGATGAGTCTAGAGAATACTCATAACCCGGCTTTTGCTGTTATAATAATGTTTTGCAAACATCCCATTTCCTTAATTCAATCTTTATTCTTTTTTTCTTTCTTTTTTTTTTTTTTCATCCAGTTACTCATTTATTTATTCAATGGTGTACTTATTTGTAATAGTTTTATTCGTTCGTTCGTTCGTTCTTTCGTTCGTTTGTCGTTCGTTCGTTCGTTCGCTCGTTCGTTCGTTCGTTCGTTCGTTACCTTCAGGTGTCATGGTTATCGTTCCTTTATTCATGGTACAGGTGTCATTAAAACCATTACATATTCCACAGTTATCATAAACAACCTCCGAACCAATCTCCCCGTCACATCCTACGACCTGTCAATTAAAAAAAATTTCGAATAAATATCGCGCAAATGAGTTTATGAAGCAATTGAGTAAAGACTTTTTCATTACCTGACATTTGCCTTTGACGCAGACGTCAAGTTTGGCGGGATTTTCATAACAACGGCTGCCATCTTCAACAGGAATCCGGATAATTATTCCTGATGCGTTTGATACGCAATATGTTTGACATGGCTCCATTGCGATTTCTGAAAAAAATCGAAGGAAACAAAAAGTTAATAAATATACAAGTGTAACGATTTCATTGTGGCGTGGCGGGGCGGGGCGAGGCGGGGCGTGGCGTGGCGTGGATGGCGTGGTGTGGTGTGGTGTGGCGTGGCGTGGCGTGGCGTGGCGTG